GTTCGCATATACAAGCGGAAGGTGTTCATCTTGACGCTCGTGGTGGCCGCCTGCGGCTTCGTCCTCTGGAGCAGCAATGGGCGACAAAGGAAGAACGAGACCCTCGCCCCGTCGCTGCTGGACGCCGAGCCCGCGCGGGCTGCGGGCGCCCGGGCCGGGGACCATCCCGCCGTGTCCGTGGGCCTTCGCCGGGGCTCCAACGATTCGGCGGCTCCGCTGGTCGCGGCGGCCCCGCAGCCCGAGGCGGACAACCTGACGCTGCGGTACCGGTCCCTCGTGTACCAGCTGAACTTTGACCAGACGCTGAGGAATGTAGACAAGGCCGGCTCCTGGGCCCCCGGAGAGCTGGTGCTGGTGGTCCAGGTGCATAACCGGCCCGAATACCTCAAACTGCTGCTGGACTCCCTTCGAAAAGCCCAGGGAATCGACAACGTCCTCGTCATCTTTAGCCATGACTTCTGGTCGACCGAGATCAATCAGCTGATTGCTGGGGTGGATTTCTGTCCGGTTCTGCAGGTGTTCTTTCCTTTCAGCATTCAGTTGTACCCCAACGAGTTTCCGGGCACTGACCCCAGAGATTGCCCCAGAGACCTGGAGAAGAACGCAGCTTTGAAGATGGGCTGCATTAATGCTGAGTATCCCGACTCCTTCGGCCACTATAGAGAGGCCAAGTTCTCCCAAACCAAACACCACTGGTGGTGGAAGCTGCATTTTGTATGGGAAAGGGTCAAAGTCCTTCGAGACTATGCTGGCCTCATACTTTTCCTGGAGGAGGATCACTACTTAGCCCCAGACTTTTACCACGTCTTCAAGAAGATGTGGAAATTAAAGCAGCAAGAGTGCCCTGAGTGTGATGTCTTCTCCTTGGGGACCTATACTGCCATTCGCAGTTTCTATGGCGTGGCTGACAAGGTAGATGTGAAAACGTGGAAATCCACAGAGCACAATATGGGTCTGGCCTTGACCCGGGATGCGTACCAGAAGCTGATCGAGTGCACAGACACTTTCTGTACTTACGATGATTATAACTGGGACTGGACCCTTCAATATTTGACTGTATCTTGTCTTCCAAAATTCTGGAAAGTGCTGGTTCCTCAAGTTCCTAGGATTTTTCATGCTGGAGACTGTGGTATGCACCATAAAAAAACCTGTAGACCATCCACCCAGAGTGCCCAGATCGAGTCACTCTTAAGTAATAACAAACAGTACTTGTTCCCAGAAACTCTGTCTATCAGTGAGAAGTTTATGGCACCCATTTCCCCACCTAGGAAAAATGGAGGGTGGGGAGATATTAGGGACCATGAACTCTGTAAAAGTTATAGAAGACTGCAGTAAAAAAAAAAAAAATCACAATTGCAAAAGCAAAAGTGACAGTCTTCTATTTTTGATATTTGCCCAAACAGGATATATAATTGAATAAAAAGGTTTAGGAACTGGTTTCTGCTTTAATACAACAACAACAAAAATTCTTGTAAAAGGTGTCCAAATATAGTAATCTTTTCCTTTTATGTCTGATTAAGATTTAAAACACCAGTTTTCCTTTTGAGAATTCGGTTTTAAAGCTCAGTGTGTACCTGCTAAAAGTGATCATTGTTAATTGGTGAGAAAGAAGAGGGGAAATTTTATTTAAATTGCATCTGTTAAATCTTTTTACCTGGAACTTTGTACTTTTCCACTTTCAAAACTTATTTTAAGTACAGCAAAATTTATTTGAAATGGTTGTATTTCAGTATTACACTGAAATTGTATCAATGAGTATTAATGGAACAAGCCCAGCTTCACTCTTGACACAATTACTAGGGATTTCTTCCCTGGTTTTGTAATTCAAAAGCTATGTTTGTTAAACACCTGGTCAGAACAGAGTCATTTTCAGTATTACAGATTCCTGTATTATTGTGTTAAGATTTGCCTGTGCTTTGGAAACTTCATAGAACACAATTTCTTTTGGAATGTATTTGATTGATAAGAAAGTTTAAACACTGTTTTCACCTCAATGTAGAAATACAGTGGTTTTGTTTCTTTTTTCTTTTAGTGCTGCCAAAATAAAATACTCATTTTTGCATAAAAAGTTTCCTAAGTATTTTGCAGAATAAGTTTTTACACCAAAATCCAATAAAGACATTCTAGAAGTTTTAAAGTAAGCATTACAGTTTATCTGTACATTATATAACCGAATTTGAAATAATGAAAACCCAGCTCTTGAAAATGCATTCCCTTTGGAAGAAACTGGATTTGAAATTGGCCAAGCATAGATAATGAGCTATACAAAGCTGCTGTGTAAGTGAAATACAGCCAGAAATGATACAAAGTTCAGTCCTGCCAAAGTGAAACTTGTTCTAGTGCCAGCTTTATCAGAAAGCATACTTTTTAAAAGGACAGACAGTAAATAATAGGAAACAGGCTTAAAATTTACTCCATGCTTAACAAAGTTTCCCTAAACAGTATAAAATTGCATTCAAACAAAAATGTACTCATAGACTACTTTTCTGTGTAGATATTGCAATTAGTCATTTCAATCTAAGAAAATTGTGTACTAAATGGACAATCTCAAAATTATTATTGCAGCAAATTAAGATTCATATTATGGTTGACAAATGCATATGGTCATTTACAATGGGGCAGGTAGTTCTCTTGCTTTATGAGCTGCCTTTTTTTTTATGAGCTGTGTGTGTACTGTCCTCACAGCCCAGTCTGATTCAGGTTTTATTGGGGTTAGAAATGTAAATCAGGATATAAACAAGGTCCTACTGTATCACCGAGGGAACTGAATTCACTATCTTATAATAACTTGAAGAGTATGAAAAAGTATATGTATGTTTGTGTGTGTGTGTATATATATATGCATAACTGAACCACTAAGCTGTACACCAGAAACTAAGAGATTGTAAATCAATGATACTTCAATTGAAAAAAAAATGTAAATCAGGATGAACTGCTAGGCTTTGTACCAGCTTTTGGTGCTCTGACCTGACCTTCCTAATTCAGAAGACTAAAGAAATTGGGTAATTTCCAGGACTAAGGTAAACGCTCAGGTTTGAATGAGTAGCTGTTTGTGGAACAGAAATAGATCAGTTTCTGATCTTGGGGGTCAGTGATTGAATCAACAGATATTTTCCTTTCTGTATTTTCTTTTATGCTGCCCTAAAATTTTTTGTGAGAAAAAAATATATTGACATTTACTCCTGGCCGCAAATAAAAATATTACTCCACAAAATTCATAACTTAGCCACTGTTACATACATGATCTGCTGCCTTCTCTTGGGTGTTATAAAAGAAATTGATTAGAAGACACTAGCTGTTTTCATGTAATAATATAATGAAAAGTTTTTCTGCTGGAGCAAATTCCCAGATTTTTAAATTAACCTGTTCTAAAATTTTTAAATGTAATTCTGTAAAACCAAGGGATATGTGAATACTATAATAGTAACTTCCAAAAAAATTCTTCTAAAAATTTGGATTTTCAAAGTCATTGATAAATAACTTAAACTTACTTATATATATATAGTGATGTGCATATGAGAAGAGTAAAATATAGAATTGAAGCAAAAATACTAAATTTCATTCAGTGTATTTGTATTGTTTGGATAGTTAATATTGAAAAGTTCTTTCAGAATTTCTATGACAAGCATAAATATATACTATTTACTGAGACTTATAAACGCCTAGCTTTGAGATCCTCTTCCCCTTAACACACTCATATTTCTAGTTAATTGTATTCTTAAGAATTACTTTTTGTGACACACAACTTATGTTTATATTGAAACTTTATTAAAGTGATGCCAAACAAAAGAAGCCAAAAACCGCACAGAAGTAATTTTATACTTTTAATTTTATACTTTTATTGAATACCTTTGGTCTTAAGATAGTAAACAGAATCTATTTTAAGTCCAAAAATTTTTACTCAGCCTTTAAATTCTAAAATTATATACAATTAATCCAAATCATAAAGCAAAGAATTCTGAAAACTGAATGAACAATGAGTCACATGGTCCTTGATAATCTGCACACTACCATCCTGCATATTGGTTTCCTTTATGTTGTCAAAACCAGGTGTATTGTGAACTGCAGTTTTGTTCAGTAATGAAGATAAGTGATCTCCATTTAATTCTTTCTCTTCAGTTATTACTGGTTCTTTTAAATTATTTTTTTCTTCACTTGCATGAACAGCACTTCTTTCTTTTTCAAATTTCGGTTCCATGTTTGACTCAGGCTGCTGAGACTCTGCAGGCAGCTTCTGAGGCACATCAGGAGCCCCTTGTTGCAAGCGTGCAGCTGAACCACACCTGGCTGCTTCTGGTACTTCAGCTGCTCCAGATGACTCCGAATCGGTTGTTGAGGTAGTAGGATGTTCTTGATTTTCTTTTTCAGTTAGATGACCTTCACTGACTCTTTCTTCCTTTTCATGAAGCTGCTCAGAGGTACTACATTTTTGCAACTATGTCAAAAAAAAGAGCAAATTAATAATTCTTTGAGACAAATAGAAAACTAAGTTGTACCCTCTAGAAACTTCTTTTTTTTTTAAAGTTGTGAAGGAATAACCCGGTAGGCCTGTAGGTGGGCTTCCTCCTCAAAGTCATCCTCCAAATGCTGCCATTTTTTAATAGTGGAAACCTCATGTTAATTCTCTGATTAATTTACCCCTTGTCTCCTTCAAGATAAAATAATCACCTACGAAACTCTTTAACATAGCCTATAAAACCCCTTAGCAGCCATTCTTAGAAAGGCATTCTTGAATTTCTTGAATTTTCTTGTATTTCTGTGATTCTTCAGAGCCGCTTTCCCTCCAGTTCACATATAAAAAGTCAGTTGTGCTAGTTACTAAATTATTTGTGTCCAACACTGAAGACTATAAAAATAACTAAACTTAAGGTTCACCTAGAAAGAATGAAGAAACTATGATATAGTTTCTGTGGTTTGAGAGTCAAAAAGATTTGTTTGTCTCTGGACTAGTACTCACACACCACCCAAACGTTAGTTTCTATTTCTCACTGGATAGTTATTTTGGGGTTAAATGAGATAACATAAGTGAAAATGAAATGCAGATGTTTAGCACATAGTAAAATACATATTAAAAGAGACTTTATTCCTCTTAATACCACTTTTCCCAACCATGATGTAAATTTAAAATTATGGTATCAAGAGATCAAGAATTAAGTTATTTGTTAGGTTCCAAACTTGTCCCAAATCACTACTCTCTAGAGCCCACCAAAATCCTTACCTTTGCATGTATTTCAATCTTACTATCAGTAATCTGAAGAACTTCAATCAATGGTGGCGTTAGGGGCATTGTCTGTTTGGATGAAGAGCTCTGGACCTCTTCAAGAAACTCATTAACATTTTCTTCATTAACAAATAACCTTTCCTAAAATAAAAAGAGAAAAAATATTCTACCATATCGGTCATACTTGACAGACTTGTATCTAAAAATGGGTCATAAAAATTTTCACACAGTTCAGGATTATACTTTTAAAATGCTTATTTTAATGTGTTATACCTATGCTGCTTTGGCAAAAGCAAACGGAGTATTGTACAGAGCACTAAGAATAGCAAGAGTCATACATACATAGGAAAAGGCCCTAAAAGAAAAAAGTTATACTTCCTTTTCCAGGTCTCTATTAAACCTAAGGTATGTTTTCTCTCCTTCAGATGTTACAGATGTTATTCTCCTTTGTTTTTCTCTCAATATTCTGTAAGAATAACATCACTTCTAAGGTTATAAATGCAGTCCACGCTATAAAATGTAATTCAATTTTAGAACACTTCCTAATGAGTCAGCTAAAGATACACAAGACAGTATCTATTCAAATTTTGTGTGACTAGTTTGCCTGTTAGTTCTTGGCCAGGTAAGAGACAAGTGTAATATTTTATTTAAGAGAAGTATATTCTACTTTTAAGCAGTGAGATAATCCACTGTGACACTAGCATATAGCTGTTTATAAGAATGAGGTAGATTTCCAAACTGCTATTAGGATATGCAAAAATCACTTTCACCAGAATCCCAAACACAAAGCAACTGGTTCATACTCAAATGTGTCAAGTAAATATAGGGATATAGTTAGGGCTTTGAAAAAATAACCACATTTAAAATTCATAAAGTCAGTTCACTGTTGCCCCAAATAAAAGTATTTTCCTCTGTACTTTCATATAAACAAATTAATTACAAATAAACACAGTTAATTATTTGGTCCAAACTGGATGGGTGGGGGGAATCAAAGAGACAAGTTTCAAGTTCCCTTCTCTTAAACAGTATTTAAACTTGTGAACACCTACCAAATAAAAGTGAACCTTGGTAAAAGAAAAATTACACGGAGTATTTTGCCTTGCTATTATCTGAAGATCCAGAATAACACTGTATTGTAGAAACACCCCTATCAAAAGCATTTCTAAGGTTCATGTCTCTGGAAAACACTTACACATTAACTGCAAAAAAAATGTACTAAATAGTTTAGTTAACTCAGGGAGGAATATTTATAATGAAAATGGTTGTAATAAAAATACAAAGGATTTGCATAAACTTGCCTTCATATTCTACTCTACAAGATATTGAATTCATTGGTCCTAAAGCTCTAGGAAAATTCCTACTGAATATTTAAGGCTTATAGAAATATATTTTGTACCTATTTACATGTAAAGTAATAATTCTGATCTAGACAGCCACAAGTCGGTCTCCTTCCCTTATAGTTATTTTTGTATAATATATGTAATCATTATAAATGTCTACCCATAAAATACTCAAGTGATTTTAAAAAAAAATTATTGTAATACTTACAGCCTGCCAGTGAAACATAAAGAGAAAAATATTGAACATTATAGTTCCTTCAGGCTCAGCAAATGGGATGATTAATGAAGTAATTATAAATCTACTTCAGGCTTCAAAGATAGAGGATACAGTTGTCCTAATCCCATTTTGGTCTAGTTTCTTTGCTAAAATAAGGTTGGCATATTAGAAAACCAGATTAAAATATATTCTTTAGCATTCTCTCAAATGCTTGTCCATAAAGCTTTTCACCCACATTGTGAGTTATTTTCACATTTATTAAAACAATTACAGGAAAACGACAGCCCTTTCCTAAATTTCCCCCTTTGATGACATAAACATAGTCAATTTCATATTATACATTCTTTATACATAAAATGGCACTGTACCATTTTTGGAGGGTTTCAAAATAACCACTTCTCACAGAATATACACATAATAAAAATTTACCTACTAGCAAATTTCTAGAAAAACACAAGTGAAATTTTTTGGCAAGTTAAAGCCCAAGGCCAAAAACAGTCTTTAATATGTAATCTGTGCAACTAGTGTTGGAAATATGGGGAATTTAACCTTTGACTAAGTTAAAAGAACTAAAAAAAAAAAAAAAGTACGTGTAACATTTATACAAACCTCAATCAAAACTATGAATTTAAAAAAAAAACTACTTTGCGGGAGGCTATAGCTCAGTGGTAGAGGACATGCTTAGCACGCACAAGGTCCTGGGTTCAATCCCCAGTACCATCATCAAATAAATAAACCTAATTACCTCCCCCCTCCAAGAAAAAAAAAAAGAAAAAGAAAACTACCAACTAATTGTTCATTTATGCGTTTAAAAAGTTCTACAGAAATTCAAATTTTAAGTAGCTTTTCTCCCAATATTTGCCAATAATACTGGAGTACTTAATCTGAAATTCAAGAACTTCAATAATCTGAAAAGTACAGTAGGAACTACAAAGGACATACTAAATTATTCATCAGAATTATACTCATTGTCTAGGTAAACTTGACAATGCCCAGCCCCAGTTTTTGTCCAAAAGAGATGTCGCTGATGTTGGTGCCAAAGTTCATATAACACTGTTAAATGCCAGCCATTGTGCCAAATACTAGCAGGGACCTAAAGATGATTAAAACAGATGCAAAAAGAGATCACTGCAATGTAACATAACGCCCACCAGAGGTCAACCCTACCAACATCAGCGACTAAAATTAAGCAGCACCATGTGGCCGAAAGGGCAATGGATTTAGATTCACACCTGGGTCTGAGTTCGTTTTCCTCCAAAAGAACGAAGTGGCACTAAATAAGTTACTTCTGCTCTCCAGCAGTAGACTATTATTTACTTTCTAAGGTTGGGGAAAGCTATTTACCAATTTAAAATATGGCCGTAATATAATGTCTCTTATACCTATTTGTGTCAGATCCTTTTGGAATGTGACTAAAGTTATATAGCCCTTCTCCCCGGAAGAAGGCACCCTCAACTTTTTGTATACTATTTTATAAGTTTCCGGATTCCTGAGAATCCATTCATATCTTCCTTCGGAGTAAGTGAACTCCAAGGAAACAACTGCATTAAAGGGCAACTTTGAAGATTTGAAACTCAGCCACCACAGGGGATGCGGTAAGTTTTTTCTTTTTTTCAATATGCGTTTAACGCGCACTGACGTCTGTCATCAGGTGTTACCAATTTCAAGTCATCACGAAAGAGTTATGAAGGAAAATCCCTTGTTTAGGTTAAGCTGAAAGGATGTCTGTAATAGCAAATTTTGAAATTGGGGTAGAATGTTTCGAATATTAAGACTCTAGAAAGAACTGTTACCTCCAGAGAATCGTTGTTTAAACCATAATACCACTCTCTCCAATGTCCATGGCACTCTGGAGATTTGGCCAGTTCTATCACTGCATTGTTTGAGGAAATGCTAACCACTGGTTCTTTGGTACTCAATTTATTCTCTGGAGCAAATTTCAAAAAGAAGGAATAATAGACTAAATCTTGGGTGGAGAAGCACAATTTGTACCAGAGGGAGGTCACTTCCCCTTGAAGACTTTGCGGCTGGATCCAAGGCACTTGTATTAGCAGAGTCAGGGATTCCTCATCCTGATTACACTGCAAAGGCGGACACAAAGTTTCCCGGAGGTCGGTCCCGCGACCACCCATGGCTCGATCAGCTTCCCGGGCCACGGGCGCCTCAACGCTGACAGCTCCGCACGCACTCCCGCTTGCTGCGGAAGACGCCGTGTCAAGGTCCCCGGAAGAAGTACAAGGAGAGCCTCCGCCGCCGTCCCCAGGTGAGCTTTTGGCTCCGGGAGGCGGCTCCTCCCCGATGCCCGTTGTTGATCTCGCTTTCCGGCCGAAATCCCGCTCCTCCGGTTCTGAGACGATGCCCTCCCCGGCGGCGTCCCGGGTGGTGATCCCGGCGTCTGCAGCCCCGGCCCGGCTGGGATCCGAGCCTCTGTCCCCGGCACGAACCCCCGGGGGTCCCGCCTCCCCCAGGCGAGCGGAAGCGCAG